CCCCCCCTCGCCCGCTCCATCCGACTTTCCAGTGTCCCAGGATGAGGACCTGCTGCAGGCCTGGAACACCTCCCTGCCACCCACATCCGGGCCAGGTACTGATTCTCGAGGCTGCCTGGGGATGTGGGGCAGAGCAGGCCCTGATGACTGCCCACTGTGCCCACAGAGAACTGGACATCGGCACCCTCCCTGCCGCGCCTGGTGCGGGAGCCTGTTCGCTGTACCTGCTCTGCTCAGGGCACTGGCTTCTCCTGCCCCAGTGGTGTGGGTGGGCACCCGCCCCAGATGCGGGTGGTCACGGGTGACATCCTGACCGACGTCACTGGCCACAACATTTCCGAGTATCTGCTATTCACCTCCGACCGCTTCCGGCTGCACCGGTGAGCTAGGTGGGAGGCACATGCTGTGGGTGAGGGGCAGCCACCCCCGCCCGGGTGGCCTCACTGCTCCTCGACCTTGTCCAGGTACGGGGCCATCACCTTTGGCAACGTCCAGAAGTCCATCCCAGCCTCATTTGGCGCCCGGGCCCCGGCCATGGTGAGGAAGATTGCGGTGCGCCGGGCAGCCCAGGTGAGCATTGCCTGGCCCCAGGCCCTGTGGGATCCGGCTTCACCTGAGGTCCTCAGTGACCCACGGTGCTCTTGGGGTCTTTCTGTGTCCCCCCAGGTTTTCTACAACAACAAAGGTTACCACAGCATGCCCACCTACCTCAACAGCCTCAACAACGCCATCCTGCGTGCCAATCTGCCCAAGAGCAAGGGCCACCCAGCAGCCTATGGTGAGCCGGGGTGCGGTGGGCTGGGGTGGGTGCCTGGGAGCAGGTCCCTGAGGCTGTCCTTCCTGTGCTACAGGCATCACTGTCACTAACCACCCCATGAACAAGACAAGTGCCAGCCTCTCCCTGGATTACCTGTACGTGTGGGGCAGGGGCGGGGTGGTGGTGTGGGACTGGGTGCCGGGCAGGGCTGAGGGCTGCCTCACCTCCAGGCTGCAGGGCACGGACGTAGTCATCGCCATCTTCATCATCGTGGCCATGTCCTTCGTGCCGGCCAGCTTCGTGGTCTTCCTGGTGGCCGAGAAGTCCACCAAGGCCAAGCACCTACAGTTTGTCAGCGGCTGTAACCCTGTCATCTACTGGCTGGCCAACTATGTGTGGGACATGGTGCGCCCCTCCCGTAGGGCCGGTTGGGGGTTCCCCTGACCTCCAGACCTCTGGCCACCCCATCACCCTGTGTGCTGCCGGCCCCGCCTGTCTTGCCCCCAGGCCCCTCACCCCTGCCCTGGG